TTCAACTTGAATGATTAAAAATGCGACCAAAGTTCAAAAATATGAATATAAACAATTAAACTCAGGACGTAACTAAACAACATCAAAATCTCAGTTACAACATTGTCACAAGATTTTCGTGTAACGTACTTGTCCTTATTTTGTAGTTAATCGTTTGGACATAACATTCAATCAAGATGGGCCAAATGAATGGAAACGAAGAAAGTGTTTAATGACTTAAAACTCTTCATAGTTGTTTTATCTGATGTCACTTCAAAATAACATAGATTAATAACGAAAATCAGCATCATCATGTATGTTACAAACAACAAAGGTTATCATACAAGTAAACATGTTATTAGGCGTCTCCAAAAGATAGATCTTGAAACCAAAGAGTCATTTGCTCAGTTGTACTTAGTTTCCAGTATAGACCTGTTTTTAAGGAGATCAATGGTTCAAATCTCACCAAAGATGAATAGTGTGTGTACTAAGTATTTGTTGTATCTAAATATTATAATACATTATTAATACGAAGTTGGATTAGTTTTACCCTTGTGAAATAAGTAGTTATGATAAACTTGAACATGCTAATATAACTGTATAAGTAAATCATTCCATTAATCTTTTTACATGAAACTCTTTTAAAAAGATCATACGAAAGCTTCCTAAAAAGCAAGTTCTTTTTTTTATGTAATTATGTTCGATTCAGTTTGTTCCAACTCATCGCCCACGATTTCGACATGCACCCAAGTTTTTTTTTACTTACGTCTAGCTTTAAATTTGGTAGTAAACAAGATTTATGTGTTTATTATTTGTAGCTTGTTGGTTAAGTAATAGTTCTTTATACGTAAAAGTCACGTAACCAAAAAGAGACCAAAAGAAAAGCGAAAAGGGAAAGTAGACCCTTTTAAGTTTTAAGATAAAACAATGGTAAGTGTTGCGTGACTAGTGAACAACATGCCTTGATTTGTTGACGCGTTATTATCTTTACTATATTATACGAATATTTGGTTAAAAGTTTTAGTAACACCTAACTACGAATTATGTACTGCTTATTAATGTATAATCTCTTACATTATAATTTTATACATAACTGTTGTATGTATTAAACCTTCCAAAACTTTTTGAAGTCTATAAAACTTACAAATAAGCAACTGATACCTACGTTCAAACATAAGATAATCATTTAAACTGTACTAACATGACAAAATACTCAATTATTATTTTTGAACTCTATAAACCTACTAATAAATAACTGATAAATACATTTAAATTACAGAATTATTTTTTAGCCTTTTAGAAACCAAAATTTTCAAATAACCAAAGTTTACAAATAAGTTTTACAATTAAAGTTTCTTTTGCGTAAAGTTTGTTTTGTTAAAAAAATAATTAAGAAGCATTTTTCAAGCAAAATTCCATATTTTTTACATAAGCTCTCATGTAAAAAAATTTAAACTTTATTTAATATTATTTTATATCTTCTTATTTTTTATTTTTTATTTTACATATTTATTATATTTACATGAGTAATTGTATATTAATTAAAATACATAAAAAAGACGGGTTTTTTTTGTAAATTAGACCATTATAATTATCTCATCAATACGTTCAAAATGAATGTAATATTGAATATTTTTTTTATTTTAACCATAAATACATACAAATTATTTTTAATACTTACACTTTCTACCCTTATCATTCTTTATTTAATCTATAAATATTAGGAGTATAGAATGTAAATTTTAAAAATAATTCATAAGTATTTATAACATTTAATAATATAAGATAAAATAAAAAATATTCAATATTTGTCTCGTTTTGAATATATTGACGAGACGATTATAATGGTGTAACTTACAAAAAGAAATTATGTATTTTAGTTAACATATGATTATACATGTTAATATAATAAATGTGTAAAATGAAAAAGTAATAAATATAAAATAAAATAAATAATTAATTATAAGTGTGTAGAGTGTAAATGTTTTTTCAGTAAATTAGAATCCTTTTATCATAAAATCAAATTTTCTGCACAAAAATATATTATTAAATCCTTTTTTTTATGTTGAAAATAAACTTTACATAAAAAAAGGATTATGCGTAAACTTTGGTTATAAAAAGAAAAGGCTTCTAAAGTAACAAAAAGATAAAATCACTTTAATGAATTAATTATATGTGTAAATTTTCCATTGTCATGCAACACTTATAATTTGTACTTTTTGAATTAGAAGGGTATTTATGTAATATAGTATGATACATCTTTATTTTAATATTTTATTTTATTTTTTTATCTCAGTCGATGTTATAGTATGATTTTATGTAATTTAAAAAAAAAGATGATGTTTTTATTTTTGAATAAAATATAAATGTAAAGATATCATAAAAATTTGACAAAAATATATCGATATTAGTATTAAATTAACTATTTAAAATTTCTATTTTTTGTGTAATTTTTAATTCAATTTTTATTATAATTTAATTTAGGTTCAGTAACGAAATTTATATTTTGTTTAATAATATAATTTTCTTATAAATATAATAATTAATTATTTTATTAGAACTCGATAATTATCCTAATTATATTTTAGATTTTTTATATTTTAAAATAAGATGTTTATTATCTATTTGGTTATGTTTATCTATAGTTAGTTACATGAATTCAAATGTGAAGCCTTAATAAGTTATACTTATGCATAATTATTTGTAATCTTGAATTTTAAGTAATACAATCAATATACAATATTTCATACATAAAAAATAATTTTTTAAAAATTTTATAATATAGTATAAATAATTAATATAAGCTTCTTTTAATTTTTTATTATTGATCTAAAATAAATTCTTTAAATAGGGTTATAAAGTTGCATGGCATCCGGTGTCGTTTTCTGTGACGTTTCTTTTGTCAGGTTTGTTTCAAAAGTTTCTCTTTATACCCTTTAAGTTTATATGAGTTGTCATTTTAACCTTCAATAATACACACTTGAACAATTGAGCCATTCTTCCAATTCTTTTTACATTTTGAGATCTTCACTAAAACAACTTCTACATTTCTTGAGAAATAAGTAACGTATGCTTATATTCTATCATTTTCTTATCCTATCTTCGAATGGAAATACCTATACTCAAAGAAGAATCTATAAATTTAAACGCAAGTCTGCAATATAATTGACGTAACATAAATTTAAAATAGAATAAAGTATTTATTATAAAACTAATTATAATGCTTTTGTATTTCACCATATGATAACTCAAATTTGAACACCAAAACGCGAATGTAGACTCTTAATTTTCTAGCAACGATACTCGATGATGACACAAAACGAATCTCAGCAGTAATAACATTAAGTGTAGAATAAACTGTTAGACTATGACGGACAATTTCAGTGGCACCATAGGCTACCGCTAGTGTCTTGGTAGATCCATCCATAAAAATATCGGTTTGTTTGGTTTAGAATGTAACCTATTGCTTAAACTATGGTATATACTAACGACTGGTACCATGTTCAATGACGGAAACAAACAAAAAAAAAATCCAACTAGAATGTAGATAAAAAAGAAGGGGTCAATTTTGTTAATTTTTGAAGTGTAAGGTTTGTTTTTGGCAAACAACAGAAAATCACATATTGTGAGAGTGACACGCATATATCTACCGCAGGCGGACGAGAACATGTAATCTATTGATCAACGTCTATAATTGGAAGTCCAGGTGCGTTATATATGTATACATATTTTTTGTGTGAATTTGTAACTTTGGAGTCGATCATCAGCTGAATGGTATGAACTCTAAATTCCTTGCGGTTTTCAAGTATATATCTATTTACCTTTTTGATTCTATTTTTAATGTTGTATGTTTTCTCCATCAAAAGTTAACGGGTTCTTTGGTGGCATGCAATCAATTTGAGTTTAAATTTCCTAAAGAACAAGAAACCGGTGAGAATCCCAAGTCCTTTATGGTATTTAGCTTTCAAGATTAGTTCATCTTTAGATTTGATCGACATTTTTGGTTTCTCCCAGGAAATGTTAGTGGTTGTTGAGGTTGCATGCAATCTGTTTGAGTTAAATTCCCTATGAACAACAAGAAATTGTTAATTTGTTTACAGGTTTTTGTGGGATCATTGTAATCTATTTCTTTATGATGTTTGTTGATTTTAGCACTCGTTTGAAAACTTTGATGTTTCTTCATCGTTTTGATGCTTGCAATGCTTACGAACGCACAAAACTATCAATTTCTTGTTCTCTTTGTCCCTTCTTATTTGATCAGAAAATTTCGACTTCGTAGTTGTTTTGATATGAGAAATTGATGTAGTTTGTGTGTGTTCTTGGTGTTCTTTTAGTTTAAATGATTATTTTTATTAGAAAATGCAATACCCTCCACATTGGGTTGTAAATAGATGTCAAAAGATGAGTTAAGAAGCCAAGAATAGTTCTACAATCCTAAAATTGATATGAGTTTTTATTTAATGTTGAGAAACTTATGTAAAAGTTAGTCTTTGTATTAAAGGTTTTATATGATTTTTTCTTTTTGTTAACATGATTAATACTCAAATGTTGACTTAATATATAGTTTTTGATGATCATTGATTATGTTGTGTTTCATGAATTGGTAAAGTAATTTAACCCAAATAGACAATGTTTTTAGTCTTCAATAGATCCCAATGGTAGTAATGTTGATTCAAAATATAGATTCTATCTCCATCACTCTAAATCAAGTCGTTGGGGTAGCTTAACCGGTAAGACCTTAACTTTGCTCTCCACCATTCATCGGTTCAAGTCCGCAGAGGCCATTGAGGTTTGTCTAGCTGTTAAGTTTAGGCCATGTTGGATTTGTTGAGATGCACATAAGCTAGCCTAAACATCCACGATTATAAAAACCAAAATAGATCCTATCTACAACACTCTAACTCAAGATGAATAAGATCTCAATCATAACTATTCCTATGGGAAAAGATAAGATCCAAACTATAGCATTGTTAACATATGGCTAATTAGCTTTTTAATGGTGGATTGACTTGTAGGTGAACATGGAAAGTAAATTGGAAACCGTATCAATATTCCTGTTTTTGTCAACCCTTTTATGTACTCCGGCCTTTTCCACATCAAATGATGGGCTTGTTAGGATCCACCTAAAAAAAGTGAGATTTGGTGAAACAAATCTTGTTTCTTCGGACCTCGGTCTGAAAGATGGAGATTCTTTAAAGGCGTCTATTAGGAAGTATAAACAAAGTGTGCAAAATCTTGGTGATGCCCAAGAGCCTGATATCGTATCACTGAAGAACTATATGGATGCTCAATACTATGGTGAGATTGGCATTGGCACCCCGCCTCAGAAGTTCACAGTGATATTTGACACTGGTAGTTCTAACTTGTGGGTCCCATCATCAAAATGCTTATTTTCGGTAAGCTTGAAATACCTAGATATATGCTATAAAAGGAAACATCTATGAGTCCGAATGAAATGTAATGAGTTATGATAATGCTACCCTTGCAGGTATCTTGCTTTTTCCACTCAAAATACAGGTCATCTGAGTCGAGCACCTTCAAAGCCAATGGTTAGTGAATTAGTATTATCCCCTTTTCTTATTATTGTTGACTTACTTTGTGTCGTGGATGTTCGTAACATTTGATTGAGAAAATGTTACGGGTGCATTTGTAGGCTTAAGCTGAAAGAACATGACATGACAGTACAATTACTTTTTCCATGTTTGGGACGATGTTAGACTGAGGATGAGATATGACGATTCAAAGACTTGTCATGTCAAGTCCGATGTACCAAAATAGGTAAAACAAAAATAAGGGACATGAGACAATATTGTAAAATTATTAAACAACTCATGGCAAATTAAAAACCCTAAAACCTTCTACATGCTTCCCTCACTCGCCCCTATTTTGTCCTGTCTATGTACAAAATGACTTGAGCAGAGTGTATTCTTAACGAGTCTGTTTAATCATGGAGTCGGATCTTCCAATTTTGTTCATGTATTTGCCATTTCTCATTTAAGATTGCTATCTTTTGGTAATGAATGACTTTTTTTGCAAATATTGGTCGTCATTCTTGTAGGGAAACCTGCTGCTATCCAATACGGTAGTGGATCAATAACTGGATTCTTTAGTGAAGACAACATCGTGGTGGGTGATCTAGTTATTGTGGATCAGGTGAAGTTGATAACTTTGTCACTTTTTTCGCAATCGAATTTGATATATAAAAAGGTTGAATTTGACATCTGTTTGAGAATCTATGATCTAAATAGGAGTTCATTGAGGCAACAAGAGAGCCTGGTGTGACATTTTTGGCGGGGAAGTTCGATGGTATCCTTGGGCTTGGTTTCAAGGAAATCTCAGTTGGAAATGCTGTCCCAGTATGGTATATTTTGCAAACCATATATAGTCCATTTTGCTTTAGCTAACATTTCGGTCATCTGTGGGTCCCATTTACTTCAAATGAAGATTGTATCCATAAGAATGGAGGAAAATGCAGTAAATACATATTTCATTGTAAAGATGGCACCACTTTTTGTTGAAGTAACAAAAAAAATCTCACACTCCTTACCTTTGTTGAGACTTGAACCATTCACCTCTATAGAGGTTTTGCTCCATCAGTACCGCTGGAGCAGTGGCCATTTGTAAGATGGTATCACTTGTGGAAACAACATTCTTTCTTTCTCACTTAGATTTGTATAGATGGTCAAGGGATCATCTAGACATAGTTTATTGTCTAACCTACCAACATTTTACATATAATTGTATAGGGACAACATGGTCAATCAACATCTAGTTAAGGAGCGTGTGTTTTCATTTTGGTTGAACCGAAGAAGTGAGGAAGGTGAAGGGGGTGAGATCGTCTTTGGTGGTGTTGATCCAAAGMATCACAAGGGCACACATACTTATGTTCCTGTCACACAAAAGGGTTATTGGCAGGTTCCTTTATCTAGTCTCTAATGCTTGTTCTAAAACATACAACTACGGATTTATATATATGTATGTAATCTAATTCTTTTTGTATTCTTTGTTAGTTTGACATGGGCGACGTATATATTGGTGGGAAGCCAACTGGTAGGCAATAACGACGTTATAATCAACTGTTCTTTGGATCTTGAATCTTGCATGAAGTGCTTTTTCTCTTAATTTTCTTTCAGGGTTTTGTAAGGGTGGATGTTCAGCAATTGCGGATTCGGGAACTTCATTGATAGCAGGTCCAACGGTTTGTATCATTCCATTTCTTGATATCTTTTCTGGAGGGTATAATATTTACATACAACAAATACTCATGTAGCCTCTTGAACCCTTGGCCTTCTGGTACGTTGCTGGTACCACCGGGGCCAATATGACCCTTTGGTTCCATTTCTTGATATTTTGTTGTACTAAAGAGGACCTTGTGTTTTCATTTGGTTTTGATTATAATGTTGTTTAAAATCGATTAATTTGGTTTTTTAATTGATTGGAAGTAGGGTTTGATTATATTACCTTTGGATTTTCGAGTTCTTAAGTGTGTTCTACTCCTTTTGTGCTCGACGTCGGCTTTCAGGATGTGATCACCCAAATAAATTCTGCCATCAGGGCTGCAGGAGTTCTTACTCAGGAATGCAAGAATTTGGTTAACCATTTCGGGAACCAAATGTTTGATATGGTTAAATCAATGGTAAGTAAACAACACTTTATTCTAACATTGAAAATTTTATTTGATGTTTTGTTTTCTTACCGTTATAGTCCCACATTAGCTAGATTAGGACATTTTTACTAAAATATATGTTGGAACCACCTTCTCTCCTCAAGATCTCTTTTGGTTTGTACTCTGATAAGATACATATTTAACATTGTGTGAGAGCCAATAGGGCTAAACTTGGACTACCCTTTTTCTCATCAAGAGATCTTGTGGACAATAATCTAATTTGGTTTCACATATCTTACATGGTGTTAGAGCCAAGTTCTAGCCTCATATATTTCTAGGACATCTTGGACTCAATACTTAGGGACATCATTTGCCGTCTAAGTTTTATCGGAAGGGTCATGTCACACATCGGCTAAACTTTTACATTTTTACTTCAATATGAGTGTTATTTTATTTCGAAACAGGTTGCTGATCCAAAGAAGCTATGTGCCAGTGTTGGAATCTGTACCGCTGGAAATATGCAAGTGTTATCATGTTCTTTTTGATTGCCCAATTTCTGCATGATGACAGTTTTTCACTATAAGTTTACATATAATTATGTGCAGTGCTGGCATTAGGAGTGTTGTAGATATAAGCAATGATGTATCATCTGGATTGGAGACCCCGATGTGCGATGCTTGCGAGTTGTTCGTAAAATGGATGAACAAACAGATCAGTGAGAACAGCACACGTGATAGCATTTTAAAATTGGGCATTGACGTGAGTCTCCTTTCTCGTTATTTATTATAACATTATTTGGCACATAGTTTGTTGATATTCAGATACCAAACTAAATGAGTCCATTCTATCTCACATAGAGGTGGGTAATATGTATGCAAACCTGACCTCTACGTGAATTTTTTATTTTAATATGACAACTCTAAATTTGCAGCTATGTAATGTGGTGCCGAGCCCGTTGGATGAGTCGACGGTTGACTGTGCGAAAATTCCTTCTATGCCTACTATTTCGTTTACCATTGGTGACAAGGAATTTAAACTTTCGCCTGAGGAGGTATTTCTTTTACCTAAATTCGTTACCGTTCAAATTAGGAAATTTGATACGAGAACATTTTTATGCGATTGTTTGACTATTAGTCAAATTTCTTAAATACCCACGTTAAAAGACTAAAGAAGGCATCTTTTTAGGGTGCGTTTGGTACATAGAACATGAAATAATATAAAACGATTGTTTTCTTTCTTGACGGCTTTTTATATTTACAGTACATACTTAAGCTTGGCGAGGGTGAATCTACGCAGTGCATCAGTGGTTTCATTGCTTTGGACGTTCCTCCTCCCCGTGGCCCACTCTGGTATGTGCGCCTTACACGATGATGGGTCGGGCACATCTGACCCGAGAAATCTACTTTTCCATTTTAGAATTCAATCATAGTACTTGACAAACTCATATTTGCTTTAATGCAGGATACTGGGTGATGTGTTTATGCGTCGTTACCACACTATATTCGATTATGGCAACCTTAGAGTCGGATTTGCAGAAGCTGCATAAACTGAAGGCGTTAATAGTTCCTAAGAACCTACCTTCTTTGTTTATGTTGTGTAAACAAGGTGAAACAGTAATTAATATATACCAGTAATTTGGTGTGCTTAAAAAGATCTCTCATAAATATGTTGTTCGAGATCTTGTTGGAGAATCAAACATACCCGTGATGTGTCTTATCGTTCGAGGTCTTATCGTTCGAGATCTTGTCGTTCGAGATGTTTCCATCGGACATTATGAACTTTTTAATAAAAAGTTCAAAATACAAACAGATTATTGACGGGTTTTTCATCGGCAATCCGTCGTAAAATCTGGCTTTTTTGAAAATGATAATAATTCAATTTACAAACATTGTCGTATACAAAAATACATTTATACACCGTAAGAATATTAAAATTTCTAAACTTTATGAATGCAAATTATCATGATAATGATATGTGACCACCTAAACAAAATATGACAAGTTCATGGATTAAATCCATAAGAACCAATAATTATCCACCTAAACCAAGTTTTTATGCATGGTGTTATCTAAGGCTAAAAAAAAATACATTCTTGCATATTGAAGGAGCAAATGATACACTGTATGGAACATAAAAACCCATCATGTAAATGTCGAAGGAAACAAAGGTAAAAAGTCTCAGGTTCAAATCCAAGCAGGAATACAGAGGTTCAAATACGGTGGCTCTGTGCTACCCGGTGGTCATCCTGAGATTAATCGATTCGCATAACGAGTTGGATATCTAAATTAATTAAGAAAAAAAAATTTAAAAAAACATCTACATGCTTTCTTCTTTTGTTGATGTTTTCACTCAATCCACCAAAGTCACTCCTTGTTGTTTGCTTCAACCAACAAAAAAATGTCCAATCTCTTGCTCTTTCTTTCCTCCCATTATAACACTACAAAAATGCAAGAGTAAATTCGTCACTAAAAAGGTCATCTGTCGCTGATACTCCGTTGGTCAAATACTCGTAGGTAATGATATCAGCGAAGGAAATCAGCGTCGGATTTGCGTGAGATACTTTCAGCGACTGATCAACGAGGGAATGGTTTCAGAGACGGATCAACGAGGGAATGGTTTCAGCGACGGATCAACGAGGGAATGGTTTCAGCGACGGATCAGCGAGGGAACTTTCAACGACGGATCAGTGAGGGAACTTTCAGTGACAGATCAACGAGGGAACTTTCAGGGACTTTCAGCGATGGATTTTCCCTCTCTAATTTGTATTAATCGAAAAATAATTTTTTTTTAAACTATATAACTCCTGTATTTATTTATACAAAACCTGCCCAAAATATAACAACCAAAACTGTGAACAAATTAAAACTAACCGATTCATACGATTTAAAATATCTAATTCATACAATTTAAAATATCCAATTCATACAATTTAATCTTCAAATTCGTACAATCTAACTACCGGGAGGTGCGGGAGGGGGGAAACATATCCTGACTACCGCATAAACGTAACAAAATGCTCTAATAAGGCGGCCTGTTCGGCTAAGACAACAGCTTGTCTGGCTTGTTCGGCTGACGAGGCAGCTTGTCTGGCCTCCAAATCTGTCATATTCTTCCGTTTAGTCTCCAGTTCCTCCTCTACTCTTGCCAACTTCTCTTTCAACTCTATTACCTGTAAATATTCAATATTCGACAAAATCAGTAATTTGTTCGCAATTTTAATAACGAGAAAGTTTATAACAATATAACTAACATACATCTACTCTTGATTCGTATGATGACCCGATGCTACTGCTACATCCACCAATCATAGCATAAGAGGGATCTTGGGTGGTCCCGAAACCAAAGATGCGGCATTTCCTCCGTCCTCCGACACTCTGCTCCCAAAGAGATGCCTCATCATGGGAAGGGTTGTCGAAACCAAAAATATTCGTCCTGAAACCAAAAATGCTACTGCTACTATCGAAAATCCTTTAACAATCACAAATTCAATAACATTATAGATAGATAAATCAAACTTCAAAAACAATCACAAATTGAAAAACAAGATCAATATTAAATCATCATTAATTATGGGATTTTTAGATTTTGTAACTCCCAATTAATGATATGGAAGTTACATAAAATGGTAAAATTACTTAATTACCCTTGTCATTAACATATGAGATATATGTGAACCTAAAGAAAATATTGATTTTCATTGGTTAAGCTTGGTTAACAAAGTTAACACAATAATCTTGGTTAACATTTGAACCAAACGCTCTCTCTATCTCTCTCTCTCTCTTTCTCTCTCTCTCTCTCTCTCTCTCTCTATATATATATATAGGAGTATATATATATATATATATCTATATAGGGGTGGGTTCAAATAAAAACCACTCAATTTGTAAAAACCGTGAAAACCTTATTCAACCAATCATAATTTTTTATTTTGTTCATTTTTTTGTAATTATGAGAGGTTGATTAACCATTTTTATTGTGGAGGGTGTTAATCATGGATATTATCATCTTCATTATTTTAATTTTAGAGAAATACATGAAACAGTTTCATTAAAATTTTATTAAGTAGTATATGAAACAATTTCATAACCACATATGAAACAACTTCATTAAAAAAAGTATTATATGAAATAATTTCACAAGATTAACAATTTCATGAAAAAATTTCATAAGATTAAAGATGGATGAGAGTAGTTTTTACGGTTTTTACAAATTGGAGTGATTTTCATTTGATCGCTCCTCTATATATAGGAGCGATCAAATGCAAACCACCTATATGTGTACAAACCGTGCAAACCACCCTCGTCCGTCGATTTTATTTTTAATCTTTTGAATTTTGTTCATGAAATTGTTTAATCTTATAAAATTATTCCATATAATACTTTTTTAATGAAATTGTTTCATATAATACTTGTGAAATTTTAATGAAACTATTTCATGTATTTTTCTAAAACTAATATAATGAAGATGATAATATCCATGATTAACACCCTTCACAATAAAAATGATCACCAACCTCTCATAATTACAAAAAAAATGAACATAATGAAAAATTATGATTGGTTGAATGAGCTTTGTACAAATATCATGGTTTGCAAAGTAAACCTTCTATATAATGATAATTATATATATATATATATATATATATATACATAGGGGCTTAATCAAATGAGAACTGAGTTGTTTGTGGTAACCGTGAGATCAAATCTTAACCACACACCCTAATAATCAATGGTTAAAATTGAAAGGATTCCTAATTAATGTAATTCCTAAAATAACATACTAACATTTAATGATTTAATGGAAAGAAGGGCAAGATTGTCATTTTCTTTTTTAAGTTATTGAGACGGATTTGAGCGCGCGCTACAAATCCGTTAATATTCTTATTATACAATGTTCAAATCGAATCCAAATAGAGTCAAGATACTGTCTATTTTTCGAGGAGTCTATTCCCCTAAACCCACAAAGACAATAGGCTATATTTTGTGTGGTACATCGTGATAACATTTTGTATTCCTTGTTTCCATTCAATTTGTGCTACATTTTGATGTATCTTCCACTTGGATTGTACTCGTTAATCTCTGTCAATGCAGTTGTCACAGCTTTATACACCTCTTCACCCATGTCTCGCTTTAGGCCTTCAGTTTATCATAATTTTCCTCAATGATTCCCTGTTCCAATAATATCAAACTTTTAGGTGCCTTCTTCTTATTCAAGAATTTGCCAGTAGATGAAAAATACTATACAGAATTGACTCAAATTGTAGATAAAATGAAATCTAGTGGAACCAAATCTTGAATACCCTTCATTGATTCTTTGTAATGAAAAACCAAATATATGTGAGTGTATATAATATCAATTCCTCATCATTCTAACAACAAGTTCTTGTAGCTCACCCAGATCACTATCATAAAGTTTCTTTTTGTTACTATAAACAGTTGCAGGTTGAAATGAAAACCCATAATCATGTTGATGATCATCATCTCTACTTTGTAATACATGAGAACTGTTGTAATACATGAAACCACAGTTGTAATACATGAGAACTTTGTTGGTACCACATGAAACCACAGTTGTAATACATGAGAACTGTTGTACCAACGGTTTATGATCAGTTGTGTAACATRTTTGTGGTACCATGTGGTGTGGTACATTGTGGTATGTAACCAATTAGAACTACTTGTGCATGGTAATGTATCACATGAAACAAAACAGTTATTGGTACCACATGAAACCACATHTGTAATACATGAGAACTGTGCTACCGACTGTTATGATCAGCTTTGTAACATGTTTGTGGTACCCTGTGGTGTGGTACATTGTGGTACAATGACAGTGTTTGTGTTTTCTCAGGAAACCATGTAGTTGTACATGAGAATGTACATATGAAACAAAGCTGGATACAAGGATTCTATAAGGGCAAAGTGAATTCGATCTTAGCACAGAAACAAAGCGCTGAGATGACTATATGGATTAAGACTTGAGGATAATGAGCAGGGAGCTACAAAGCATGTTTGGACAAGAAGATACTTCTACAGGAGATGTTGTCAACAATGAAACTCAAATTCAGTTGTTTGAAACACCAACGATAACTGCGAAGGTGCCGAAGAAAAGGATGAAGAAGGGTGCACATCAAGATATTGCCTTTTATTTACAACATTACCCAAACATGATTATAACATTGATACATACAAAGACATTGCAGGTTCTAATACAATAAACTACATCTAAAATTTAAAATTGCAAGTATTAAAGAATTCCAGAGTAATAACAATAAAATTAAACTAATACAGATACACAATAAGAAGTAATTCGTAAACATGCCTTCAAACATACTCTTTGTTATTTATTTATGTACCACAGGTGTGCACATCAATAATATGGAATCACAACAAGAAGATACAACTAATACATATACAAAGTAAGTACACTAAACGTTGTGATGATAATAAATTTGGATAACACAATGTGATACAAATCAGGTTGAACACAGTATACAAAGATGGATGAGAAAAAAACATGGATTTATATCATTCTGAATATCATTGTATAATTTTGGAATGTAAATCAATATTAATTATATATTATGAAAYGCTTCTAATTTAAAAATTAAAATCTAATTTTAATTTAGGAATTGACTGAAATACCCTTTTAAATTTGTTTAAATAT